TAACTGTTCCCCTTGGTATCACCTTCATATTTCTAAGTATTAGGCTTTTAATGCTATTTCATTTCAGATATTATCCACTGACTTCCTAGTATTATGTGTCTTCCTGATTCCCACCCCACTCCATCCCTGCTGTTCTGAAACTTCTTGATGAAACACTAATGCACCACGCTGAGTACTTGGTGATCCATGTCCTACGGTTCTAGGAAATTTTCCTCTATTATTTCCTTGATAAGTTTTCTTCTCATATCTGTCTTTCTTTCTACATTATAGGCTGGACCTTATATGCTGATCTTCCAACTGATCTTTTTTGATTGTTCATCTCTAGACTTCATGGTTGTTTTTTTTTTTTTTTCCTGGGTGATTTCCTTATTTTCTTTTTAATTCTGGACATTATATTCTGGATTTCCAAGAGCACTTTGGATTCTCCGAATGTCTCATCTTTTATATTCTCTCATCTCTCTGAGGTTATTAATCACAAGTTTTACTGTTGTTTTAGATTTCCTCTGGGTCCTGTCATGCTGTAATGTCTCTATAACTGCTGTAACTGTTAAGTCCTTTTTTTGAGACAGGGTCTTGCTCTGTTGCCTGCGTAGACTGCAGTGGCATCATTATAGCTCACTGCATCCTCAAACTCCTGGGCTCAAGCGATCCTCCTGCCTCAGCCTCCCAAGTAGCTGGGACTACAGGTGTGTGTCACCACACTTGGCTAATTTTTTATTTTTTGTAGAGATAGGGTCTCGCTATGTTGCTTAGGCTGGTCTTCAACTCTTGGCCTCAAGTGATCCTTCCGCCTCAGCCTCCCAAAGTGCTAGGATTATAGGCCTGAACCACCATGCCCAGTCTATTGTTAAGTCCTTTTCCTCTCTGTTTTAGTTACTTTTCATAATATCTGGAGATCCTTGGTGAAACTTTCATAGTTGTATTTAAGAGTGAGGCACTGAAAAGTCAATTGAAAGCTCTACATATATAGCAGGGGAAACTGACCCTTGTACAACATGGGGGTTAGGACACTGACTCCTATGTAGTCAAAAATCTGAGGATAACTTCTGACTCTCCAAAAACTTAACTACTAATAACTCACTTCTGACCAGAGGCCTTACTGATAACAAAAACAGCTGATGAACACGTATTTTGTATGGTTATGTATTAATATCATATATTCTTACAATAAAGTAAGCTAGAGAAAAGAAAATGTTATTAAGAAAATCATAAAGAAAATACATTTATAGTACTGTACTGTATTTATCAATACTGTAAGTTTTATGTCATTTGTTTACAAGATGAATTGTCTCTCTGACATGATGGGCAACTGCAGCTGCAGACGTCAATCTACAGTACATATCAAGCAGTTCGGCTTTTTCTTGTAATGTCATGACTTTTCTCTGCTTCTTGGGAGCACTTTCAGCATCACTAGTGGAATTTCGTATTGGTCCCATGCTGTTATTCAAGGTTTATGGTATTGCATTAAACATGATGAAAAAGACCTGAGAACTGTAAGAGATCGCTTTTTACTGTGATACACAATTTACTGGAGAGATGAACTGTTCACACAGAGATGATCAGCATCACATGGTGTTTTAAGTGGATAATCATAACATTTGAGCTCACTGCAACAGCAACAGAAGGTGTCTATGAAATTATTTAATATTATTTGTTGTATTATTGTAGTTAATTTTATGTAGTTATGATTTAATACTGCATCTTTACACTTGTTTATATTTCTCTCAACTGCAAATGGTATCACGTATGGTCTGTAAGTGCTGGTATGTGTAAGTTCTCACAGATTAGAGCCTGGCACCCCCTCCTCTTTCTCTTGCGTCTGCTCTCTCACCATGTGATCTCTGCACACACGGGCTCCCCTTTGCCTTCTGCCGTGAATGGAAGTAGCCTGAAGTCCTCCCCAGAAGTAGATGCTGGTGCCATGCTTCTCGGACAGCCTGGAGAACTGTGAGCCAAATAAAACTCTTTTCTTTATAAATTACTCAGCCTCACGTATTCCTTTACAGCCACATAAATGGACTTAGACAACAGACCCCAACCTTTTTGGTATGAGGGACTGGTTTCATGGAAGACAATTTTTCCGTGGACTGGTGAGGGGGGTGGTTTTGGGATGATTCAAGCACATTACATTTATTGTGTACTTTATTACATTGTAGCATCTCATGGCTATTTCATTTGCTTATTACAACAGCCGTTTCATGTAGTTATTGTTAGCTTCATTTTATACACAAGAAAACTGAAAACTGAAGATAAGAACAACTTGCTCAAGGTCACGCTGTAAAACAAATATATCTGTGGGAACTTAAACCCAGGTCTATGCAAATCTAAACTTAAACACAGGTCTACTATTTCCAAAGCACGTGCCCTATTCACTACCCAGACTATCCTGAAAGAGTAAGTGGAACAATGGTGCAACACTGCTGCCAGTACATCTACCATTCTACCACTCGTAAGTAAAAATACCCTCATAGCTCTGTGTTTGTGTGTATGTATGTCTATACACGTGTGTACGTATGTATATGATGGGTCTAAAGAAGCACTTCTGGCCTCAGTGGTTTCTGTGCCCCTGTGGTGTTGCTGCCTCTGTCCCTGGGCCCTTGGCAGCTGGCCTAGTACCATCTCCACACTCTGTGCTTAGCACCCTGTTATTTATGTGGGGCTGGCAGGGGCAGACTCCATTGCCCTGTCCCCATTTCTCTTATTTATTATTCAAACTTTGCTGCCATCTTATCCTCATATCGTATCTGTTGGTTAAATAATAAAAGCCAAGAAGGTGGTGTCAAAACAACAATGATGACCAAAAACAACAACAACAAAAAAACCCCACTGCTCCACAAAGCATTAATCTTGGCACTATTTCTCCTTGAAATATTTTCCTTAAAACCAAAGAAAAGGTAAATGTAAAACAATCTTTTAAATATATTTTTAATATAGTTTCTCATGCTTTGAGTGATTTTGCACAATCTCAGCTAAAGAAAGCTAGTTGGCAAACTATACTTTACAGTTGTACCTGATGAACAATAGTGAAGCACATTTCCAATGCTCTTTGAATGAGCAATGAGTCTTCTAACACAGTATTTCGAGTAATTTATTTTTTGGTCCAGCAGTTGTAACCCGTAATGGCTGACAAAAGGTATGCAAATAATAATTAGACTTGCCAGAAAGAAATATGGAAAGGCTATCATGCCAGGAATTAAAGTTTAAGCCTTAGAGAAGCTCAAGGCACTTTCAAAAAAAAAGTAAAGAAAATAGATAAAAACCAGTAGATAAAAAGAAATGGAGAGGTCCTTTGACGTAATGAAGGATAACATTATGTCAGAAGCCTGGAGGGCCAGCATTATTTAAAAAGTGGCAGCTGAATGACACTAGCTGAAAGCGTATCTTGATTTTAGAAGATCTACAAAGACAGGAAGAGTAAGTGCTCTCTATATAATGCCAGAAGAGCAAGTGCTCTCTCTATAATGCCAGGAATGAAATTCCACAGGGAATATGCTATACTGAGCGCCATCTAGGACCGACTCAGTAGGGACTCCTACTGAGAAACGTATACAAAATGGGTAAGCCTATACAGAAATCTCAGCACCTGTAGGTCTTTACAAAGGGATAGGATTTATTAACTGCTAACCATAAGCACATATAAATGGGTATTAGCTTACAGAAATAAAATAGAAATAATCATGGTGTCACTTGATGTTAATGGATGTTTCATGCTTATGATGAAGATTCACAGGTATTAGCATTTTAACTTTTGTCAAAACACTTTCATACTACAGATATTTTTTCCTCTTTGGAATAATGACTTACCTTCAAAGGTTGATTTCTTCTTATTATAGCAAGTTCAATGTTTTTTCCACCAGACTGGACAACCTAATGTAGAACAAGTACAATATTAGAATTACTTCAGCAAATTTTGTGTTTAATAAATAAAAATGAATGAGAAAAAAATCATGCTTTTCTGAATATGCTTTATTAGGTCACTTACTTCTAGCAAAGCTCTTATTGCTAATTTGATAGCTTCATTGTCATCTGCTATCGCATCTTCTGTGTAATTCTTTTCCAGAAATTCTCGAACAGTTTTAGCACTTCGGCCTATTGCATTGGCCTTCAAAAATTAAAGATAATTATTAATATCATTGTAATATGAATCAATTTATGGTTATTAAGTGAAGTTTAGGGGTTTGGAGTTTACTCCAGTATTCCTTAATGGAATTACAAAATGAAAATTGTAGATTTGAAAAGAGCTTTTAGTGTGACTGTTACTAAATGGAATACATTGTACCCAATAGGTAATTTTTGATGCTTCACCCTCCCCCCTCCCTCCCTCTGCCTTTCCAACTCTCCACACTCTATTATACTACGCTATATGACCACGTATACCCATCACTTAGCTCCCATTTATAAGTGAGTATATGTGGTATTTGTTTTTCCATTCCTGAGATACTTCACTTAGGATTATGGCTTCCAGTTCCATCCAAGTTCTGTGAAAGACATTATTTCATTCTCTTTTATGGCTGAGTAGTATTTCATGGTATACGTATACCACATTTTCTTTATCCACTCATCAGCTGATGGGCACTTAGGTTGATTCCTTATCTTTTCAATTGTGAACTGTGCTGCGATAAACATACAAGTGCATATGTCTTTTTTACATAATGACTTATTTACCACCTTTGGGTAGATACTCATAGTGGGACTGCTAAATTGAATGGTAAGTCTACTTTTCGTTCTCTGAGGAGTCTCCATACTGTTTTCCGTAGAGGTTGTACTAGTTTACGTTTCCACCAACAGCATATAAGCATTCCCTTTTCACAGCATTTGTGTCAACATCTACTGTTTTTGAATTTTTAATAATAGCCTTTCTGACAGGGGTAAGGTGATATTTCATTGTGGTTTTAATTTGCATTTCTCTGATAATTAGTGATGTTGAATGTTTTTTCATACGTTTGTTGGCCATTTATATATCTTCTTTTGAAAAATGTCTGTTCATGTTTTTTGCTCACGTTTTAATGGGGTTGTTTTTTTCTTGCTGATTTGTTTGAGTTCCTTGTAGATTCTGGATATTAGTCTTCTGTCAGATGTATAATTTGCAAATATTTTCTCCCATTCTGTAGGCTATTTTCTATGTTGGTTATTTCTTTTGCTGTGTAGTGCTTTTTAGCTTAATTAAGTTCCATTTATTTATTTTTGGTTTTGTTGTGTTTGCTTTTGGGGTCTTAGTCATAAATTCTTTGCCTAGGCCTATGTCTAGAAGAGTTTTTCCTACATTTTCTTCTAGAATTTTTATGGTTTCATGCCTTACATTTAAGTCTTTAATGCATCTTGAATTAATTTTTGTATATGGTAAGAGATATGGATCATATTTCATTCTTCTTCAGGTAGCCGTCCAATTTTCCAAGAGCCATTTATTGAATAGGGCGTCCTTTCCCCAGTGTATGTTGTTATCTCCTTTGTTGAAGATAAGTTGAATGTAGTTATATGATTTTATTTCTGGGTCTTCTATTCTGTTCCATTGGTCTATGTGTCTACTTTTATATCAGTACCATGTTGTTTTAATTACTATAGCCTTGTAGTATAATTTGAAGTTTGGTAATGTGATGCCTCCAAATTTGTTTTTTTGTGCTTACAATTAATTGCTTTGGCTATTTGGGCTCTATTTTGATTCCACTTGAAACTTAGGATTATTTTTTCTGATTCTGTGAAAAATGATGTTGGTAATTTGATAGAAATTGCACTGAACCTGTAAATCACCTTGGGCAGTATGAACATTTTAACAATGTCGATTCTACCAATCTATGAGCATATGTCTTTCCATTTGTTTGTGTCATCTGAGATTTCTTTCCTAAGTTTTTCATAGTTTTCCTTGTGGAGATCTTTCACCTCCTTGGTTAAGTACATTCCTCAGTATTTTATTTTCTTTGCAGCTATTGTAAATGGTATTGATTTCTTGATTTGATTCTCAGCTTGCCTGTTATTTGAGTATACAAATGCTGATTTGTGTATGTTGATTTTGTAACATGAGACTTTACTGAATTTATCAATTCTAGGAATCTTTTGGAGGATTCTTTAGGGTTTTCCAGGTATAAGACATATCATCAGCAAACAGTAACAGTATGACTTCCTCTTTTTAAATTTGGATGCCCTTTTCTCTTTTTCTTGCTTGACTGCTCTGGCTAGGACTTCCAGTACTATGCTGAATAGAATTGGTGAAAGTGGGCATTCTTGTCCTGTTCCAGTTCTTAGGGAGAATGCTTTCAACTTTATCCCATTCAGGATGATGCTGGCTGTGGGTTTGTCATATATGGCTTTTATAATTTTGAGGTATTTTCCTTCTATGTCTAGTTTGTTAAGCATTTTTATCATGAAGTGGTGCCACATTTTATGGAATGCTTTTTATGGATCTTTTGAGATGATCATATGGTTTTTGTTTTCAATTCTGTTTAAGTGGTAAACCACATTTATTGATTCATGTATATTAAACCATCCTTGCATTCCTGGGATGAAACCCACTTGATTGTGGTGAATTATTTTTTTGATGTGCTACTGGATTCTGTTTGATAGTATTTTGTTGATGATTTCTGCATATATGTTCATAAGGGATACTGGTCTGTAGTTTTCTTTTTTTTATGTGTCTTTTTCTGGGTTTGGTACCAGGGTGATACTGGCTTCAAAGAATGAGTTAGGAAGGATTTCCTCCTTCTAAATGGTAGGGAATAGTTTCAGCAGGATAGGTACCAGTTCTTCTTTGGAGGTCTGATAGAATTCAGCTGTGAATCTATGTGGTCCTGGGATTTTGTTGTTGTTGTTGTTAGGCTTTTTTTGTTGTTGTTCTCGAGATATTTTTCATAACTGATTCAATCTCGCTACTCATTATTGGGCTGTTCAGAATTTCTATTTCTTCCTGATTCAAGCTTGGGATTTTGTCTCCAAAAATTTATCCATTTCCTCTAGATTTTCTAGTTTGTGTACACAGAGGTATTTGTAGTAGTCTCAGATGATCTTTTGTATTTCTGCTCTAGTATTGGTTGTAACGTCTCCTTTTCCATTTCTGATTTATCTTATTTGAATCCTCTCCCTATTTTTCTTGGTTAATCTAGCTAGTGGTCTGTCGATTTTGTTTATGTTCTCAAAGAACTAACTTTTTGTTTCACTGATCCTTTGTATTTTTTTTGGTTTCAGTTTCATTTAGTTTTGCTTTTATCTTTGTTATTTCTTTTCTTCTGCTAGATTTGGGTTTGGTTTGTTCTTGTTTTTCTAGTTCCTTAAGTGTAACATTAGGTTGTTAATTTGCCATCTTTCTGTCTTTTTCATGTTGGCATTCAGTGCTATGAACTTCCCTCTTAGCACTGCTTTTTCTGTATCCCAGAGATTTTGGTAGCTTGTGTCACCACTGTCTTTCAATTAAAAAAATTTTTGCTTTCTATCTTGATTTCTTCACTGACCCAAAGATCGTTAAGCAGCAGATTGTCTGATTGCCACATATTTGTATAGTTTTGAGGGCTCCTCTTGGAATTGATTTCCAGTTTTATCCCACTGTAGTCTAAGAAAATGCATGGTATGATTTCAATTTTTAAAAATTTGCGAATACTTGTTTTGTGGCCTAACATATGGTCTATCTTGGAAAATTTTCCATGTGCTGTTAACTGTATATTCTGCAGTTTGTCTGTTTATTTTATTTTATTTTCATGGAAGATAATGTCTGGATATTCTGCAGTTTTGGGGTAGAATGTTCCATAAATATCTGTGAGGTCCATTCGTTCTAGGGTCCCATTTAAGTCCAGTGTTTCTTTATTAGTTTTCTGCCTCAATGATATGTGTAGTTCTGTCAGTGGAGTCTTGAAGTCCCCCACTACTATTAAGTTGCTATTTATTTCATCTTGTAGGTCTAGTAGTATTTATTTTATGAATCTGGGAGCTCTGGTGTTAGGTGCATTTATACATAGGATTGTTAATATCTTCCTGTGGAATTGATCTACCATGCCTGGCCTACGACTTCCTATTTCTACTGTCCATTCCACATTTTCCTCTACCTGTGCCTTGCAAGACTACAATGCAGCACTGCAGAGTGCTGTCATGCCAGGACCACAGCTATGTCCTTAACAGTCCACTGCAACATTCTATCGGGCTACCTGGTGTAATATGTCAGAGTAATAAATAAACAAATGCAAAGAAAAACATAAAAGCAAACAACAAAGCAAAGCTTGATCTCATAGCTAAAGTGCTATAGTCTTCAGTAGTAGAAATCAAGTCAGAAGATTTATTTTATTTTACCTTCCAAGAATGGCTATCAGCATTTATGTGACATGCATAGAAAATCATTTGGTCTAAAGGAGGTAGCATGATGTAGTGGAAAGAACACTGGACTAATAAATTGAGTTCTAACTCCAGTATTGTGAGTAACTAGGGGTATAAACTTAGCAGTACCTAAAATGAGTGGAATGACAATACCATAGTGGGGTGTACATGTGTGTGGCACATAGTGTTCACATCCTCCTGTTCCACCACGTAACCTGAAGACATCACAGCAGAGTATAGTTTCAGACCAAGATGATCAATGAAATTCCCCACAATTTAAAAATTCCATAATATTAACTAATTGACTCAGATAAAATAAAAATACTTCTCTGTATGTCTCTTGAAGGCAATCATATTAAAATGAAAAACCATGTAAACTTGAAAAATGCTGTGTTATGTTATGGAAATGAAGGGTAACATGTAATGATAAATGCAAAGAGAAGATGGCAAGCTTCAAAATATTTAAAGACTGAGTGTAATAACTTGGTTTGTTTAAGGCATAGATTTGGGAGACAAAACAAACCTAATATATGTAAAAGACTTCTAATCGACAGAAAAAACGTCTTATACATACAGCACGTAAATCCATACCTTCTGAATACCAATTAGATTACAAATGTAGATTAAGAGAAGATGTGCAGCTGACACAAGTATTCTGATATTGATATTTGTCTCAAGAATATAATCCACTGTTTTACTGGGCTGGTTAACTGATTTATTAAACAGTATCTTATGAGTATGGTCAGCCACTCAAATCAATTTTTTTACTTAACATAGGCTGTAAAGACCATCACAATATTTTCCCATTAATTCATATGGCTCTTAATAACAGTAAAATAAACTTCATTTATTTTTTTGAGACAGGGTCTCACCCTTTATTGCCCAGGCTGAAGAGCAGCAGCACGATCACAACTCACTGCAACCTCCAACTCCCAGGCTCCAGTGATCCTCCTCCTTCAGCCTCACAAGTAGCTAGTACTACAGGCATGTACCACCGCACTGGCTAATCAGAAAAAAAATTTTTTTTCGTGGAGGGTCTTGCTTTGTTGCCCAGGGTGGTCTCAAACTCCTGGCCTCAAGCGATCCTCCTACCATAGCCTCCCAAAGTGCTGGGATTACAGGCATGAGCCACTGTGCTGGCAATAATAGCAGTAGTAAAATAAACTTGGCACGCGCCTGTTTGAAGTCTGGGTATTTTAACTTTTAATAAAGTCAAAATCAGTTATATTAGACTGTGTTGTGTAGTCTTATTCTTATACAAGAGAATATGTAAAAATTCACTTCTGGTAAATACATTTCTTTAGGCCCTAGACTTTTGTATTGTATTTGAGCACACCATTATACAAAAAGTTAGTACTGTAGTTGAATTCCAAAATAAGAATAACAACTTATCCAGAAAACAGATTTTTATATATTCCAAGAATTACGTGGAGATCATTGCTACGTACTAACATGTAAGTACAGATTCATAGTTTGGGGTGCTCTGACTTTCCTACAATAGATAATGCATTAAATATTTTAGTAGGAATTTCAATGTCCATCTAACTCTTTGTTAAAACCAGAAAGACTATTTCTATTCAAAGCAAGCATCTATATGATACAATATTAATTTGGAAGAGTAAACAATAAATAGGAACTGGATATTTCTCTTAGGCATTTATAAACACTTAGGTTTGTAGTATCTTTTCAAAAGTAGAGAAAAGACCCTACGCTTAATAAACCGAAGTGTTTCTGTATTCATCCAAAACCATCAGTTTCTGAATAGCTGAATGGTTACAGTTAGAAAGTTTGTTCCATGATCACTATTTTAATGCAACAAAATTTTGTCATATTCCTGAAAGCAACAGAGAATTTATTGTGAATACATTTACCCAACTTCTAAAAAAAGTACATATTAATAAATTTATGACTTACCTTCCAAGCATGGTAAGTACCAGAAGGATCTGTCTGATATAATCTTGGAATACCATCATCATCAAAACCTACAATTAAGGCGGAAATACCAAAAGGTCTTCGTCCATTGCTCTGGGTATATTTCTGAAAAATAAAATGTATTTTTAGGATAACACTATTATTAGGTTGGTGCAAAAGTAATTGTGGTTTTAGCATTGCTGACATTTGCTGTTTGATACTGGAACACATTCTTAAATAAATGTGGCTATGTTATACATCATTTGAATGCACATTTCTCGCTTTATGTTTTTTTGCTAATGACTTATTACTTGCTGTTTATATTTATTTTAAACTATGGAAATGATGTTAGACAAAAAGCAAATTTGAGTGATTTTCTTATTCAAGTTCAAAATGGGTCGTAAAGCAGCGGAGACAACTTGCAACATCAACAATGCATTTGGTCCAGGGACTGCTAATGAACGTACAGTGCAGTGGTGGTTCTAGAAGTTTTGCAAAGGAGACGAGAGCCTTGAAGATGAGGAGCACAGTGACCAGCCATCGGAAGTTAACAATGACCAATTGAGAGTAATCATTGAGGCTGATCCTCTTACAACTACACGAGAACTCAACGTTGACCATTCTACGGTCATTTGGCATTCGAAGCAAATTGGAAACGTGAAAAGCTCGATAAGTGGGTACCTCATTAGCTGACGGAAAATCAAAAAAAATCATGGTTTTGAAGTGTTGTCTTCTCTTATTGTACTCAACAACAATGAACCATTTCTCAATCAGATTGTGACGTGCAACAAAAAGTGGATTTCGTATGACAACTAGTGATGACCAGCTCAGTGGCTGGGCTGAGAAGCTCCAAAGCACTTCCCAAAGCCAAAATTTGCACCAAAAAGAGGTCACGGTCACTGTTTGGTGGTCTGCTGCTGGTCTGATCCACTACCGTCTTCTGAATGCCAAGAAACCATTCCATCTGAGAAGTATGCTCAGCAAATCAATGAGATGCGCCCCAAACTGCAAAGCCTGAAGGTGGCACTGGTCAACAGAAAGGGCCCAATTCTTTTCCACGACAACGTCCGACCACAGGTTGCACATCCAACGCTTCAGAAGTTGAACAAATTGGGGTACAGAGTTTTGCCTCATCTGCCACATTCACCTGACCTCTCACCAACTGACTACCATTTCTTCAAGCATCTTGACAACTTTTTGCAGGGAAAATGGTTCCGCAACCAGCAGGATGCAGAAAATGCTTTCCAAGAGTTCATCCAATCCTGAAGCATGGATTTCTACACTACAGGAATAAAAAAACTTATTTCTCATTGGCAAAAATGTGTTGATTATAATGGCTCCTATTTTGATTAATAAAAATGTGTTTAAGCCTGGTTATAATGATTTAAAATTCACGGTCCAAAACTGCAATTACTTTTGCACTAACCTAATACTAGCAAATAAAAAATTCTAATAATAAATGAAGCATTGCTGCCAAAATGATCTGCTTTCCTGATTCTTATTCTAAGTATATTAAAGATTCTTAGTCTATGTATATTAAAGATCTTTTTCCTGATCCTTTCTAATTTCAATTCATGATGAAATTTTTTAAAACAAGCTGTACAGTCTATGAAATAATATCACAAGTTTGTTTATACATGGTCTCAAAATTATTTTCTTGTTGCTTTGTATATATTTTGGTAAGATAACTAGATTATAATCTCCCTAATATGGCAGAGAACCGCATATTTATGCCATACCATTTTTGTTCTCAGTAAAGCTGATTTCAATAAGCTATGCTTTGGAAACATGTCCTTTGCTTATCCTGAGGGACACTATAATTGTTACTACTATTATCAAGTATTCTTACTTGATACTGTTATTATCAAGTATACTATGTTAATTATATACGAAGTTATCTCTATTTAAAAACTCAAATAAGACAATTCTTTTGGCTGGGAGAGGGGCTAATGCCTGTAATCCTAGCATTCTGGGAGGCTGAGGCAGGAGGATCGCTTGAGGTCAGGAGTTCGAGACCAGCCTGAGCAAGAACGAGACCCCATTTCTACCAAAAATAGAAAAAATTAGCCAGGTGTGGTGCAATGTGACTGTCATCATCATTATTATTTTAGAGATGGGGTATTGCTGTTTCCCAAGCTGAACTCAAGCTCCTTGGCTCAAGTGATCCTCTTGCCTGAGCCTCCTGGGTAGACGGGATTACAGGTGTGAACCACCACAACCAGCTTAAGATTGTCACTTCAAATTCCTTTTTAGGCATTTCATAAATTCCTTTTCTTTGGGTTCTGCTACTGGATACTTATTGTGTTATTTTATGGATATCAGATTTCCTTGCTTTTTCATGTCTCTTGTGTTCCTACACTGATATCTGAGCAACTAGTGGGATAGTCACTTTTACAATTTTATGGAGTAGCTTTTGTAAGAAGACTTTTTGCTACAGATGGGTCCTTAGGGTGTTGGATGGGTATGGTGCATTGGCTTTAGATATGGGTAGATTCAGTACTGTGGCCTCCATCCAGTTTATTCAGCTATAATTCTCATCAGTGAGGTCCACAATTGCCTCAGTGGCCTAAGCTGTGGGAGTTTGTGATGGCAGTGGCATGGTATTACTGGGAGCACTGAGCTGGCTGTCTGGCTAATCACATGCAACTATGGAGGATCAAGAGGCTGCCCACTGGTCTCTCCAGAAAGGTGGTGGCTGCTGCCAAATGGATGCAGGACTGGGTGTGCATGGGGCCAGTAGTGAGGGGCAGCCCTGCAGTGATCTGTCCAGGGAGAAGGGGTCGCTGGTGGATCTGCTATTGGGCCAGCTGTGAATGTGCGTGGGTGAGGCAAAGCTAGGCGACTCTGCAGGGGTACATGGTTGGGGAGTGGCACCATATGACCAGATGTGAGGATGGATGTGGTGTGCAAGGGTGCAGCAGTGCCAGTAGGCTCTGCAGAAATGTGTGAGGGAGTCAGGGCCCTTGCAGGACTGGCTTTTGGGCTATGTGAGCAGGATCGGTGAGCTGACAGGTTGTACAACACAGGTACATGCAAGCAAGATGGCCAGCTGGACACCGGGTGGCTTCGCTGCTATTCAGGCCCACCCATTCCATGAGTGGGTAGTTTCCCATGTGGGTTCTGAGATTGGGTTCTCAGTCATTCCATCTGGCCTAGGCTCCAGGCAGCTGAGATCATAGTGCTGTAGGCACCAGTGTAAATCTGGCTGAATGAGGGCAGGGCCTCACGGATGGGGAGGTTAAGTCATTAATGACTCCCAGGCCAGGACACATTCCAGTAGTGGGTCCAATTATAAGATGGCATCGAGCCATAGCAGCTTAGGTTGCAGGGGTGAGGGGTGTTCAAGGTGGGCTCCTACTCTTGACACAATGCAGCTGTGTAAACTCCCAGCTAGTCTCCAAACTGGACTTGTGGCTTGGGAGGACTGGGAAATGCTCCTTGCAGTAAGGACTGCTGGCATTTGTGGCAGCACTGGGGGCTTCCGAGAATCTCCTGTTTACTCCAAGCTGATGATCCTGGAGGGGAGCCAGTGTGGCAGAGGCAGAATGCCTCACTCTCCTCTCTACTGTGTTATTCTGGGCTTCCATACTCCATAGAAATTTCACCACTCTCCTGGTGCTCTCCAGTATATTTCCTCCATCACTGTAGTCAAAATATAGCTGTTCATTCATTTTTTTCAGTTCTTTTTGGGGGTAGGACAAGAGCCAGGCAACTCCTGGTCATCTTGCTGATATAACTCTATTATATTATATGTATTTTTCTAAGTCACTTCAAAATTTGAATGCAAATAGGCTATGAACATAAACTCTTAAAGAATATGGTTTATGTCTTGATTTCTTTGTTCTTCCTAATGTTCCTCATTCAGACATAGGTATCAAGTAAATGCTTTGTAAATATACCTTAGAGGAGAGACCATTTTATTTCACTTGCTTAATTAATCATGTGTTTCTTTTTAATAAAAAAGTAATACATGGACAGGGTTAAAATAATTTAAAAGCATAAAAGGTACATATGAGATATCTATCATGGACCCCATAGCCCCAGGTCCCCAACTGCAGTGGCAATCCCAACGTCACAGACTTATGACTATGTTCCTATAAATAGCCTTGACATTTCTAGAAGGAAATCTAAAAACCACAATTGGGAACCTTACATATACAATGTTCTGCACCTTATTTTTTGGTGGATGATTTTTTAACAAATGGGAAAATCAAAGCAAATCAAATACAAAAATAGAATTATTATTATTCTATTATTCTATTCTCTAAAAATATTAGACTTTATCTTACAACATGAATTAACAAATTTTTTTAAAACGGGAAATTTTGTTATAACCCAGTTAAAACTTTAATATATAGAATAATGAGTTTAAACAAAAGGCAAATTCTGTACCAACAAGTGTTCTAAATGCTTGCAATATATTACTTACTCCACAATGCAAATCAACAAAGTAGGTATTATTTTAATGCTGATTTTATAAATAAGAAAACTGAAGCTAAAGTAGGTGAAATAGTTTGCCCAAGGCACTAAAAAGTAGCAAAGTCAGGATTCAAACCCCCAAAATCTGGCTCCTGCAGGCACACTCTTAACCATTCGAGTGCCTGTCAAAAGAAAAGATAGTTTATACCAGGAGAAATGAAAATAGCAAACAAACATGTGGAAAAAAATTCAACCTCACTGCTAATTATAAAACACAAATTAAAACAACTATTACAGTACTATGTGATACTTATTTGTAAAATAAAAGAAAAATGAGAAATCCTATGTTGATGATTCTTCAGGGATACATTTATGCATTGCTAGTTGCACAATAAAAATTGGCTCAATCTTCCTAAGAAGCAATTTAGCTACATATAAAGAGTCTTAAAACCAATTTTAATCTTTAATCTAGTAAGCCCATACTAAAAATTAATTTAACAACATAATTCAAAAAATAAAAACAGAAGCCATGACAAAGATAGAATAATATTATTAGATTCCCAGAGAGAGAGAGAGAGAGAGAGAGAGAAGGAGAGAAAGAGAAAAGGAGAATAAAAAAAACTGGAAACAATGTAACTAAATTATCAGATAGCAACTAGAAACAGTATTATAGAGTTAGTAAGAATGATAACTATAAAGACAACATT